ATGAAATAAAGAGAAAAATGTAGCATTTTTCCATAAACCTTTTTCAATACATTCTTTGGAAATAGCCTTTTGTCAGATAATATGGACAAATTTTACTAAAACATTTTTCCGTACATTTTTATCTACATGGATGCATTATCAGCTAAACATGTCTGTCAAATGTGCTGTTAGTTGAATGTCTTGTCAGCTGCATGTGTTGTCGCCTATACATCTGTTTCAGCTAAATATGTCACGGAGGCTAAATGTCCTTGGCTAAAGGTTTTGCCGGATAAACAATCTTATCAGCTAAGTTTTCCTGTTGGCTAATTGTCCACAACCACACTGTAAAATTATATTGATGTGCTATTAAAAAATTAGAAACTTTTTTGAATGGATCTTGTAAGATGAAAAAATGAATCAATTGATTCTTCAAGCACTTTCGGTACTTTACATTTAAAACCATACCACATATTTTTGGCACATATTGACAAATTTCAACTTCTTTCTTTCCCCACACTTTGGCTTGATATTATTTTTATTTTTTCCTTCCCCTTTTACAAAACTTATGTTGGTTCCTCCACCCCTTTATTTCTATTGATTTCATCCCTGAAAGCCTTTTCCATAAGAATAAATAAAAGGAGAAACACAAAGAGAGAAAAATTTTTAAAAAATTAAGTTAAATGAATTAAAAATAAAGTTAAATGAATTAAATGGTATATTATTAAATGGTTATTAAATTATTATTAAATGGTTATTAAATGATAAAATAAAATATGCAAAACTAAACTAAAAAAATAGCAGTAACTAATAAACATTACACTAAAATGTAATCATATAAGACTAAACAGGTATAAACTTAAAAATGGCATTTTGCTGTTACATTTGTCATTTCTCCTTTGAAAAGCATGTGATGACAGATGAATTCAATTAAATAAAAGTCTAAATGTTGGTCTTCAGTGCCTCTTCGGATTTTATTGCACCATTTTGTAATAACCCATAAGTGCTCAATAAATTGTGGAAGACAGCATCCAGGTCAAAGAAATAACAAGAGTGATCTAGTGTGAAATATTTAAATCCCTAACAGCAAAATATATTGTAGTTAAAAAGGAAAATAATAATAATAATAACAAGCAACCTCATTAAGTAGATGTAAAACAAGGTTGTGTGAGTAACGGTTATAAAAATAATTACTGCCAGCACTGATGCAATTGTGTTTTACATCTAATACATCTAATCTTAGGAAAGAAGCTAAATCAAACTGGCAGTGCTTGGTGCTACAAGAATAGATCCCCCCCCCAAAAAAAAGCATCCAGTGGTTTGGTTTTAACAAAGAAATATCAATATTTTTCCCCTAAATTTTTCTTTTGCTCGAATTTTACTCACATTGGAATCTTTTAATCTACTGAGCTGGCAACTTAGTGATTGCAGATTTTGTTGATAGATGGTTTTAGCAAATTCTTTTGTTTTCTCAACCTAACCTATATTATTTTCTTGTTGTTTGGACTTCACTTCTAATAATAAGATAATTATTGCATCAATTTCGTTTTGTTTCTATCCCAGTTTAAAAATGGAATAACAAAATGCACATTTCAAACATACTTTATTGTACGATTTTCAAAACACAGGAAAGCATCACAAACATACAAGAAGTTACCTGCCATACATGGGAGTGAAGCTTTCAAAGAAAGGCAGTATCAAGATTGGTTTGCCAAAATTCTTTCTGGTAATTTTTTACTCAAAAAGGCACAACGATCTGACTGTCTAGTTAAAGTTGATGAGAGCCATATCAAGGCCATTATTGATTCAGATTGTTATAGCACAACACATGAGATTGCAAAGAAGGTCAATGTATCGCATACATGCATTCAAATAGTAAAACATCTTGCCAATGTAAAGAAACTCGCTTTATGGATTTCTCATTAATAAAGGAAATTCATTTGACACAATGCATTAGCATCTACAATTCACTTCTCAAATGTAATGAAATTAATCCATTTTTGAAATGATCAGGTTACTGGCTATGAAAAGTGGATAGTTTAACAAAGGTAATCAAAAAAAGATCATAGGTGAAGCAGAATGAGCCAGCCCAGACAATATCAGAAGCTGAAATTCACTAAAAAAAGTAAATTTGCTGTCAGTTTGGTGGGATTATAAAGGGATTCTACATGCTAAACGCTTAAACACACGCACAAAAAAAGTTAATTCAAACACAGACATTCACCAACTCACCAAGATGAGCAATGCAGTTCAAGAAAAGCAGCCAGAATTGGCAAATCATAAGAATGTTGTTTTCCAACATGATAATGCAAAGCTCCACACATATTTGGTCACTCGCCAAAAATTATTGGAACTAGGCTCAGATATGTTTTCACACCCACCATACAGCCCTGACCTTGCATCTTCAGATTTCCATTTATTTCGTTCCATGCAGAAATCCTTAAATGGTAAAATTTTTAATGAAGCTGATAATGTAGAATCTCATTTAATTCAATTTTTTTGTTGACAAAATCAGAAATTTTATGAACATGGAATTATGACACTGCCTGAAAGACAACAAAAGGTCGTTGACAAAAACATATAATACCTGATTTAATAAAGTTATATTTACAGCTGGAAATTTTGAATTCTCCTGCTTACTCAAAATCTACTTCATTGCCAACCTAATAAAGTGAAATTCTATGAAATAACATTCATAACAACATTAAATGCTAAAACTGTTATAGTTTGCATTAAACAATATGTAACACAATTTTTACTTAAAAATTATTCTTTGCATAATTTTCACTCGTGGTTTGCACAAATCAAAACAACTGCTGAGCAACTGCCACTGCTATGATAATGTTCTTTTCTGTGTACTACTTATTTAATCTAAAAGGATAAAATTACTGGGATTTGGAGAGTTTTTAAAGGGCAAAAAAAAAATTCTTAAAATAAACAAAAAATTCAGAAAATCAATAAAACTTCATTGGGAAGTATTAAAAAAATTAAGCAATAATAGTAATATATTTATCAAATACAATTTTTAGTCATGTTGGATTTTTAATAAAAATTCTCCATTAAAAAAAAAGATAAGCTTTTTAACCCCTTAATGCACCAATAAAAATTCAAAAAGTGGTTTTTTTTTAGCTAATTGTTTTACTAATTATATTAACTCAATCTCATTCTTTAACTCAAAACTGTAGCAGATATATTATGTTGTATTCATATTTGAAAAAAAAATCTTAAAATGTATTTAATTGTTATGTGCAAATGATATAATTTGGTGTACTTGAGTAAACTTGTTTGAGTGCATTAAGAGGTTAATATCTATATACAGTACAAAGTCTTTAATCCGGATGTCCATAATCCGTACCTCAAAGCAACAAACTTTCTATGCATGCATAAACGCATAATGCATTTACGCATGCACAGAAAATTTGTAGCTTTGAAGTCTGGATTATAGATCATTCGCGTTTATGCATGCGATTAATACCTTTATGCATGCACATAATACGTTTACGCATGCCCATTTAATGTATAACTGACGGTATAAGCTAGGCTAAAATTATCTAATTATCTATTTCAGTTAATGTTGCAGATAGCATTGTTCCTTAATCTTCTTTGATTTGATTCAGCTTATTATTTTTTGCATGCTATTATAATTACAGATAATTTTATGAAAACTAAAGCTCTCAACATTCGAATTATGTTGAAAAGAGTTTTGAATTCTGGAGCTGCCAACAGGGATCTACAAAGCAAAAGCATATTTCGATGTCCAATAAACAGAAAGTGGAACTGCGGGGAAAAAAATGGATAAAGGCATATCCTTTGTTTCTCTAACCATTCCGAAATCTGTTTATGGAAGTTGATCTGTCAGCACTATCCTCATCTTCAGGGCAGATGTTTTTATTTTATTCAGCTTATAATTCCTTACTAAATGTAGTATTTCATCTGTATGCACTCCGTATGTAGTACGTACTCCGTCTTTGATATGATTTAAATCAAATTCCTCATCATTATAAATATCACGAATACACATCAAATAATTTTCTGGTTTCAATTTTCTAATTTCGACTATGCGTAATGTATGCTTTACACATACGCACACTAAAAGAAATGTTTAATAAAGTAAACAAATAAATATTAAGCACTTTTTTTTGTAAATTTTGATGCCCTTTAGATCATAACTGCTCTTTATTTCATAAATTATGGTTTCATATTTTTAATTTTGATACCCTTTAGATCATAACTGCTCTTTATTTCATTAATTATGGTTTCATATTTTTAATTTTATAATTTCTGCATGCCATCTTACCAGATTTAAATTGATGATCTATAATCCGGAAAAACCCCTAATCCGGAATCGTCGAAGTCCAGGCAAGTCCGGATTAAAGACTTTGTACTGTATTATAATGCACAAGCGTAAATTTGGAATAAGAAAATATTTCAATTTTAAAACTAGAGTGTTTGCTTTTCCATTTAATTTTTTAATGAATATGTAATATTATTAAATGACTTATTTTGCTATACAGATAATTTAGATTTAAAGATTTTTATTAAATGTGTAATTCTGATATATAATAATCAAGATACTCTACAAAGCAGAATTCAGATGAAAGATTTTATGTTATACAGATTAGCAATAATTGTTTTTCCCCTTCCCCTATGTATTACTTAACCCAGGGGTTCACAACCGGTGGTACGTGTACCATTGATAGTACACAAAGAAACAAAGTATTTTTAACTATTAAATTCAAAAATTAAAACCCCAACACCCTGATGAGCTTTTTCTCTAACATTTGTAAATTTACGCGATCTGAGCTTTGTTTAAGAGTGGTGGTGATGGTAGAAATACTTTGTAGTGGTGGTACTAAAGGTTTTCAATTTTTGTTAAGATGGTATGTGTTAGTAAAAAGGTTGAGAATCACTGACTTAACCGAAATTAAAACTTCACTGAAATAAGATTAGAAATATTACTTTTCAGGTGTTAACAGAAGAAATTAAAAGAATTCTGAAGGTTCCTAAAAGGAAAAAATAATTACCTGTATGATTCTGAAGATGGCTGATGGTATTCCCACAAGTGAGCAAATGTCAGACCATCAAACGCTATGACAGTAGAGTTGAATATAGCCATGACAATATCAGAAATTCCATCCCCAGTCAAATCGACAAGAACTGGGGGTGTCATGATACCTTTGAAATTATCTGTGTATATTTTTTCAGCCTAGAAGTATAATATTAAAAAAAGCTGAAATATTCATTAACAGATAACTAAATATTACATCATATTTCATAAATCTGGGAAAGCAAAAATTAAAATAAATTAAAGCTTAAATATTTTATTTTATGACTTAGCTACTGAATTCAAGAACATTTAAATGCCACATACATAGAATTTTCACTGATGCAAGTGTGCTGCTGATTTTTCACTTTTCAATTTTAATTGATAAGTATATACATTGAAGAGGAAAACATTATAACCACCTACTCAATAATAATGTATTGTGTGACCTTTGGCCTGCAAAACAGCTGCTAATCCCCTTGGCAAGGATGCCACAACTCCTTGGTAGATGACTGTAGACAGGTTGTACCAAATGTCTAAGCAGTGGTCACACAAAGTTGAGATATTCCGAGATTGTGGTGTCTGAATTATCAGCTGCTGCTACATGACATCCCAAATGTGCTCTATTAAGTTAAGATCTGGTGAGTTAGGTGGCCAGGACATTAACTGAAAAACATCCTTATGCTCCTCGAGCCACTCCAACACAATTCGAACCTTGTGACATGGGCCATTGTCCTGCTGAAATATTCCATTTCCAGTTGGGAAGACAGATGCCACGTAAAGGTACAACTGATCAGCAAATACGTTCAGATAATCTGCTGCTTTCATAGTATGTTCTACCACAACTAAGGGTCCCACAGCCACCCATGAGAATGTCTCCCAAAGCATAATACCACCACCACCAGCCTGCGTATGACCTGCTGTACGAGGGGGGGAACAAATGTTCACCTGTAAGACAGGGTACTCTGATACGACCATCGACATAATTAACAAGAAATCGTGATTCATCCGACCAGGCAACTAACTGTCCTCCACTTATCCAGTGGTCCAGTCTGGATGTCCCTGGGCCCCCTGGTAGGCATAGTTGACAATGAAGCTTGATAAACAGAAGCATGCAAATGGGATGTCTGTTGAGCAGTTTCATATTCAACAGTGTCCGCTGAACTGTGTGTTCTTAAACACTTGCAATTGGGACAGTCTCCAACATCCTTCTTATTTGATGATGCATGGATGTCCAATAAGGTGTCTACTGTTGGTTTCACAGTAATTTATCCATCCTGCATAAATAATAACAATGGCAGATCATGAACAACCTACCAGTCGTGTAGTTTTGGAGATACTTGTTCCAAGTCTTTGAGCCATTACAATCTGTCAATCTGTCAAATTCACTTGGATCAATAGCCTTTCCCATCACTTATAAAAGTAAGTGCAAGAATGATTCCTTACCTTCTCTAGCAGCAGTTACATGCTGTTCTCACTTAATCACATGCCCTCCATGTCATCTAGATGAGTTCTTTGAAAAATGTGGGGATGGTCATAACATGTTGGCTCATAGTGTATGCAATTTTAGATAGTAAATAGTATATTCAATTGTCTCAGCTTTCACAGTACTCCAATTAATGTTTCTACTTTTTTGTTCTTCTTGACATTATTTCAACTCAGATGGAACTGGCCTATCAAAAAGTATTGACTTCTCCAAATTGTTTTCTATTTCTAGACTTATTGCCTTGCTTTAATTTTTTTAGACCTCATAACACTTTTAGAGCCCTTTTTCCTTCATGCTAATACATGTCCTTTCATTACTTTTTTTTATTACAGCACAAACTGGTACTCGTAACTCAGGATCTCTCATAAGCCAACCGGCAAAATGCATATTTTTGTATTTTATGATTTTCATTTAATTTTACTTTTTCTACACAACACATTTACCAGTTCATTTATTAAAAATTAATCTCTCTAATTTAAAATCTAAAATACATAAAAGTAGCTTTAATTTAAAACAATTCTATCAGTTTTAATTTAAAATAATTCTATCAGTTTTAATTTAAAGTAATTTCATCAGTTGGAAAATCTTAGAAAAATTCACCTGTCACAGTTTTTTCCCCATAATTTATTATTTGATAGTTACAATCCTTGCACTTTAAATAAAGCTTAGAAGTTATATTTTTTATAGTTACAACATGACAAATTGTCTTGCCATTTCTATCGCATTTTAATGAAAGTTTTCCGTCATTCCAAATATCATCTGAGCAAACAGTTTGCTTTGGCATGTTTAATCATATTTTGTCAAGCGATTTTTGGCATTTGAAAGAAAAAGGTTTTAGACCACTGTTGTGAAATTTGTTCTTCCAGTTCTGTTGAAAAAAGTCAGCTACAGAATGTCACCAAATCATGTGCTAAGTACTAATTCGTATCATGTGACACAGTGAAGGTTTGGCACCAAAAGTTCAAAAACAAGGACTATGACATTAAAGAAGCACAGCACTCTTGTCAGCATACTGATGTTGACGAGACCAGCCTGCGAGAACTTGTGAAAGAAGATCAGTATGCAACCAGTTGACATCTTAATAAGGAGTTAGGCATTGTCACCCTATCCATCATATAAACTTGATGTACAAGTTCAATCGTTGGGTGCCACATGAGTTGACTCGTGCAGATACGAACAGACTTCTTCAGGCCTGCACTAATCTGCTTGAATATCAACACAAGCACAAAATTCTGGATTGGATCATCACTTGTGATGAAAAGTGTATTTACTTCAACAACACAGGCCAAAAAAGGGGTTTGTTCTGCACCCTGTGAGCCTGCTGGCAGTGCTGCAAAGCAAAATTTGACTAACAAAAAGATCATGCTTCGTATCTGGTGGTACAGCATGGTGATAGTCCGTATTGATGCTGCTAACAAGGAAAAACATTGAACTTAGTTCCAGAGCAAAATGGTTATGTTCCATCAAGATAATGCAAGACTATATGTGTCTGCATTCACTGGCTGGTCTCTGTATGGGCTTGAATGGGATCATTTGCAACATCTATCATATAGCCCCTACATCACTCCTTCAGACTTTTACCATTTTCACACTTGCAGCTACATCTTGTTGGTGCTATCTTCCATTCTGCACAGGATGTACGAAATGAGGTTGATCTGTTTTTGGACTTGCAGCCAAGTTTCTTTGAAGGCTTCTTTAAACTACCAAAACGTTTGCAAAAAATCATAGATTTGGGTGGTGCTGCTACGAACACTAAAGGTACTGCTTTCATGATTTTTTCATAACATCATTAAGAACATTTTTTGGCAGAAAACTTTTGTTACAACCAGATATTTATGCTAGTGTTTTCAAACTTATAGATTAAAGTTTAACATCAAACAGCAAGAAATTAAGAATCCGATGAATGTTTTTAATTAGTTCCTACTTGCCAGTTTAATTTCAAATAATACAGAAAATATTCAACTTTTTGATATGGCAAAATATTAATAATCTTTTGGCTTTTCCAATGAAGTTCCTTATTCAAAAGCTGGATAAAGTTTCTATATGATAATAAACAAATTATTATAATTGCTCACACAATACACATAAAATTAATTTTTTGGCAATTGTACTGAAATTTCAACTTCTGATTTGTTTTTTCAATTATTTAATAAAAATACTTTTTTCTAAAAAAACTTAACTTTATTTTGAATAAGTTTTATGTATTTATTTTGTATAAAAAGAAAAAGCTATACTTCTATATAGTTTAGCTTTTAAATTTTAAAATGCTTTTTTAACTGGTTATCATGAAATCCTTGGTAAATAATGAAATGGGTAGTTATGCTGAATGTATAAAATGCAATAAACATCACTTTGCACGATGAGGAAAATAAAAAAAATCCCCAGAAATATTTACAAACAGATATTTATTATACTATTATATTTTTTAAACAAAGCAGCAGATTAAATTTTTTTTAAATGCATATTTGAAGAAGGCAAGAAAGAATTATATATTTTAAGCACTCTGGCTTGCTGTTCAATATATGGCACTGCCAACTCCAGTATACTGCTTGCTTTCACTTTGGCATGGCTACTTTTCTTGTTCTAGGTTCTTCATTTCCCCCCCCCCCCGTATGTGTGTGTGTGTGTGTGTGTGTATTTTGGCCCTTTTCTGGACATCACCTTCTTTGCCTATAACTGCTTGAATGATTTCATGATTATTTAAAAACTGATTTTCAACCTCATTACCAACTCAAATACATCTTCTTCAGTGAAGTCATCACAATCAGGAAATTTCCTCAAATCAGGCAGTAGAGTGTTCTCACCTGTGCAAGGCAATTCTGGGGGATTATGTTCAGGTATAAGATTATTTCCTTTCTTCCTCTTCCCCAACTGTTTGGTCTGAGATTTAATTAATATAAATTGAGGCATTTCTTGATAGGCTTTAGCCCTATGTAGACATTACACTTATAGTTTTTGGAGCTACAAAATGTATGATACCCGAAGTTTCTACTTCATAAAGGATTTCTGAGAGAAGCTTGCATCTGTGATGACTCTTGAAGATTTCTATAACTCTAAGGTCCACAGGTTGCAATACATTTGTCATTAGGGGAAAAGGACACAATTTTTATGTTTTCCTCTTCTTCACAATCTGGTTTATACCACTGAATTTAACGCATTGTCAAGAATTAGTGCCACATTCATTAATTTTTTTTTCAAGTTTGTTTTGTTCATGACTTTCTTTTCACGATATACAAGTACTTTAGCAAGTTGATATTCTATTCTACAGTGCACTGATAAACTGAGTAAGAGCAAATAAGTTCATATTTTTAAGTACCCAAGATTTCTTTGATTTCTCAACTGAAAAAGAAGTTTATGAATTCCTATGAACTTAGAACAAAGAATAACAGTTATTTCCTCTCTGTTAGACTTGTAGTCAAGGCTGAGATTTCATTAAGCAATAGCAGGAATTTTTTTCACAAGTATCAATGTCTGGTTCAGTTTCATCAATGCTGTAAATTTATTATGAATGTAAACCTTTTTCTTCAATGCAATCTTGAAGTTTTTTTTAATTTATTTTTTTTGCTGGAGTTTGCAAGATTTGCTAACAATTCTGTTACCAGGCATTTATAAAATGAGCTCTATGGCATTTTTCTCAGAAAAAACACCTTCACTTTCAAATTTTGCATACTGTATTTTTTTGCATACACATTCTCTTTCGCAATTAGACTCTTTGTTTGAGTCCTCTTCAATGAAAGCATAGACCAGAGTCGTAACTAAAGTTTTCAGCGCCCAGGGACAACTGAAGATTTCGTGCCCCCTACTGCTTGCCAAGGATGGAAAACATTTAATTCTAAAATGTTATAACATCAGTTTGGCGTCCCTTGGATTCTGCACCCGGGGACAGATGCCCCCTCTCTAGCTATGCCCCTGGCATAGACACAAAATATCATCAACTATTTCATGCACAGATTTTTGTAACATGCAGCATGTTGAAAGTATTTTCTTTCTTTTTTTTCTTTTTTTAAAATTCAAATTAGGTACAAAAATTTTGAATGGATTTATGACTTCAGCATCAGAAGTTCATCATACGCTTTCCTACACAAAGTTCACTTCATAGGTTTGTCTTTATCTAAACATTCTAGAGCATTTACATTTTGTTACATCATTATTACTATAGATTTTCTTTTCCTGTTTACTAACTCAATAAAATTTTTTTGACAAATTATATTACAGTAATTGAGGAAAAATATAACCATATATATGATCACACAAAACCGTAGTATCCACTCAACAATATGCTCCCTGCACATCTACATACAGCATCTAACCAGAAAACTGGAGGCTAGAGACAAATATGTTACAATAGGGGATACAGCATCTAACCAGAAAACTGGAGGCTAGAGACAAATATGTTACAATAGGGGATGTATAAGTCACTTTCTTTCTTCAGAAGTTAGTTGAACCAAGGCTGGTAAGGAGGACATCTACTGTATACTAGTATTTTAATTTCAGTTAAAACTGAAATAACATATGTGATCACAATATACAAAATTAAAAAATTTACATCTTACCAGATTTATTTCACCAGTAAGAAGGTGCTTTAATTTTATAACCCACAATGATCCTCCATGAGTTTCTCCACCAGTTCCAAATAAGACTAAATTTGTACCTAAATGATAAATATATATGTTACTATAAAATTTTAAATGAGATAATCTCAACAATATTAAAAAAAGCTTCTTTAGGACAATATATGCCGTGAAATTCATAATAATAATCTTTTAGGGAAAGAAGGTCAATTTCTGTAATTAAAAAACAGAAAATAAATTAAATGTTTTCCACTTTTTTCCTGTATACTTCCTAGATAGGCTAAATAAAGTTTAAAATATTGTTCCTATATTAAATCCTACATCATGGAAAAGCAGGAAACATATTGGTAATGACATTATTACAGACTAAACTTTTTGCCTTTCAAAATGCTATTATATTGCTAATAAGTGGAATCATGATCTTGGACTTTCTGATTGTGTCCAAATTCTACATAAATGTAAAATGACCTTTAAATGGATATGTATGCCAGACTTATCAATAATACTTATCCTTAATACTACAGTCAAAAGTCTTTAATCCGCACTCGTCTGGACTTCGGCGATTCTGGATTATCGGTTTTTCTGGATTATAGATCATCAATTTAAATCTGGTAAGATGGCATGGAGAAATTATAAAATTAAAAATACGAAACCCTAATTTATTAAATAAAGAGCAATTATGATCTAAAGGGTATCCAAAAAAAAAAAAAAAAAAAAAAAAAAGCTTAATATTTATTTGTTTACTTTATTAAACATTTCTTTCAACGCGCGCATGAGTAAAGCATACATTACGCATAGTTGAAATTAGAAAATTGCAACCAGAAAACTATTTGATGTGTATTCGTGATATTTATAATGACGAGGAATTTGATTTAAATCATATCAAAGATGGAGCACATCGAGATGAAATACTACATTTAGTAAAGAATTATAAGCTGAATAGTATAAAAACATCTGCCCTGAAGATAAGGATAGTGCTGACATATCAACTTCCAGTTCATTGTGCGCCGCGACGTTTCCCCCCACCCCCGCAGAGCAGCGTGAAATTGATAAACAGATTTCAGAATGGTTAGAAAAAAAGGATATGCCTTTACCCATTTTTTGCAGCAATTCCACTTTTTGTTTGATGGACATCGAAATATGCTTTCGCTTTCTAGATCCTTTGGCAGCTTCAGCTTCAAAATCAGAAATTCTTTCTGACATAATCGAAATTTCAAGCTTACTTTTATAAAATTGCTCTAACAGTCTGCAAAAAATAATAAGCCAGATCCAATTCAAAGATTAAGGACCAACGCAATCAGCAACATTAACTGAAATAGATAATTAGATAATTTTAGCCTAGCTTATACCGTCCGTTATACATTAAACGCGCATGCGTTTACGCATGCGCAGAAAGTTTGTAGCTTTGAGGTCCGCATTATAGATCGTTCCGGATTATGGACGTCCGGATTAACGACTTTTGACTGTATAATACTTATCAATAATACTTTACAGACTTATCCTTTTCTATTGCCTCTTTACAGATCTTGTCTTGAATTTCTGCAAGTTGTTGTTGTTGCTAATGCTAGTTTCCTCGTGGCAAGGAGCACAAGTTTATGCATGTCATTGGCAACAGCCTTTGAGCACTTTGCAGGTGATTTTCACCTTACAGTACGATTTAGCTCAGTTCCATCCCCAATTTTGATGAAGCGCACCCTGGAAGGAGGGGACAGATTCGAGTGTCTCCGACTCCCTCTTGCCCTACCCCCATTCTCTCAAGAGGACTTTTGACTTGCCGCATATTTAGGGTGCCCCCATGCCACACGGACAGGATACATATACAAATATCCATACCTTCTCCGGGATTCGAACCCGGGCCCTTTGTCATGGTAGTCAGGGATGCTAACCACTATACTGGTTGGGTGGCATTTCTGCAAGTTCATTTACTAATGATTCAAGATCATGGAATGCTTCTCTAAAATTCATTTTAGTATCTTGTAATCTGGGCAGCACATGATCAGTTCTCCTCAAAAGTTCACGCCAAAAATGGATTTAAATTATGAAATTAAAATTCAGTGTATTTTGAAAAAACAATTCTAGTTTCATTCTGGTGTGACTTGTCATAGAACTGTCCTCAGCTAATTTTTCTAGTAGTTCTATTAATTCTTCTAACCCATCGACAGCATCAAAATTTACAAATATCAATATCTATATATCTAGACTTGCTACATTTTTTCCTCATTGAGCGATATCAAGAGTCGAATCAAATAAAAGTCCATAATCTTTATTGCTTTTGATACAAATTATTAGTTGATTATTACAGTTTGGAGGCTGAATTAGCAATAGCTCAAAGTCGAAGGGCTTATAATATGATAAAAGACTATAGTGGATTGTTTGTTATCATCTTAAAATAACTAGTATGAACTGCACCTTCTGTTTTAATTTTGTTTAAAAAATGAAAATTATTTCACTTTTGGAAAAACAAAGTGTTCAGAAAGAATGTTTTCCATACGGAGCTATTCGACTGATTTACTGCAAGCATTATTTATAAAATATTTTATCAGACAAATCAAGAAAGGAAATAATAAATATATTACAAAATTTATTAATTTAAAATTTATTTCCTACAAATCAATCAAAATAAAAATTGAAACTTTTCAGAAAATCTTGTTTGTCTTGGGGACCATTTGGTGCCCCTCTGAGAGCGGTGCCTGGGGCATGACAGACCCCCTTGCCCCTCCCCCATCTCGCTATGCCACTGCCATAAGTATGACATTTCATTTTATTTCTAACCAAATGTGACATTTGGCTTATTTGGAATATACAGAATTCATTAAGTTAATTGTCATAGAATGCATTATTCCAGAAATCCTAAAAAACTGTCTATGGGAACTAATAAAACACAATTTTTTACCAGGGGAGGGGGAGAAAGAGAAAAAGAAAAGTGTGAATGATAACAACAGCATGGCTGCAAAAATTTAAACCTTAAAAATTTGAAGATTTCTACAAGAAAATCCAGAAGTTTTCTTGCAAATGCTTGGCAGTGATATCATGATTCAGACTTATTCTTTCATTTACAGCATTCATGAATAGAAAGATTAATAAAAAATAATTACTCCTTACCATCAGGATGAGTCAAAATTTGTGGTGAGTAATAACTTTCCTTCTCATCAGGAACCTGCATCCATTTCAATACTCGCCCAGTCTTACCACTCACGATCAACAGTCTTCCAACCAATCTAGTTTCACTACCTAGAAATAAAAATTTTGCTGCATGACCTACATTTAAAAAGGTTTATTTTATTACTGGAAAATATGGTACACTGCACAAAAAAAGGGGGGCATGGGGACACTTCTATATCTCCTGTTCTACTGGGCCGATTCACGAAATTCAAATTGTATTTTTCATGTCTCGAAAGCGCAACTTACGATATATATTAGCTTTATATATAGCATTGTTTTAACATAGGTATTTTGACACAAAATGGGACTTTTTCTGAAATAACATACGATTTTTTCCCAGCAAAATTTACAGAGAAATTTTAAAATTTCACTTAGTGCATTTTTTTCAATCTGTGCCAAGAGTAATTCACTTGGTGAACTTCTTAATATATGACAACTAATTTTCCTTTCCCTTCCATTATGCCGGAGTGAGAAAAAAGTCCCAGCGTTCCTAGCTTTTTACATTATGCATGAGTGGGAAAAAAGTCACATCATTTCTACTTTCAAAGAATTTTAACAAAGTCCCTAAACCACATTTGATGTCATTATCACTTTCAACAAATATGGCAAATTTCAAAATGCACCAATATATAAATTCACACATATTTTTGGAAATTTTGTATAAAAAACTGTAATTTTTTGCAGGTATGCTTAGAAATACATCTACTTTAAGATGAAGGTTAAAATTTTATAGATTATAATTCAAAATTTTGTTTGAAAAATTTATAAAAATTACTTGAAAATACAAACTTTAAAAATAAATCATAAAAAATTGGCGAATTTTATTTGGAATGAACCTAAATTTCGAAATATCAAAGGAAGAATCAAATAAGTTTAATTAAAAAAGAGATATTAATACATATCAAATTCAATTAAAATTTTGAGAGCTTATTTTTTAAGAACTACTCGTGCAATCTTTACAAAGCTTGCTACTTTGGCATAATTTGAATTCTAGAATCTAAATATGGAAAAAAATTGGCATCTCATTTCAGAAAAAGTCCGATTTTGTGTCAAAATACCTATATAAGAACAATGCTATATATAAATCTAATACATATCCTAAGTCACACTTTCGAGGCATGAAAAATGTAAGTTGAATTTCATCAATCGGCCCAGTAGGAAGGGAGATATATAATTGTTCCCCCCTTTTTTTCCTGCGCTGTGTACTAGTGCATTAGTTAGAACCTGCTGACAAATGAAGAAAAATATCATCATTGACAATCCTATGCACATTCAGCAAACCTAGAAAGATGAGATTTCTTTCCTTTCTTTTTCTTTTCTTGTAAGTGTTTCTCTCTTACTTTTTTTTTTTTTTTTTTTTTTTTTTTTTGCTAAGGATAGGTGGAAATGGCTTTTTCTTTAATGTCAAATTCAGCCCAATTAAAGTAAGAGCTTACTTGCACACGACTATTTAACCCTTTCAACACGGAAAATTCTCAAGATATCCTTTATTTATCTCAGGTTAACTACTACATTATTACTAGATTTAAATTACTGAAATATAAAACAGACACAACCCAGTTATTTTCAGACATAAGGCATTTTGCCAAAATCTCACTAATGTTCCAATTCTTATGCAATGAAATATAGTATATGAGAGAAGATATGTAACAAAATATAATGTCAATAGCCAACATATCATTAGAATAATAATTGAGAACTGGTTAGAGAAAAGTCACTTGTTTCCTTAGTATTTAGCAGAGTTTATGGGAAGACAAGAGTCAAGCTGTGGGGAATAACAGTCTGAGGCAATTTTGAACATAAATGGCAAACAATATAGTCTGAAAATAAAAAAGTGTTATTGATCTACTGACGATATCAAAATTATATTTTATCACCAGGAAGAGGCAAAAGACTATTAGCAGTATAATGGTAGGTACCAATTAATATGTTGTTGCATGCACATGGGTTCATGGTAGTGCATGCAAAAGCGATGATAGCTTGATTTTTTTTTTTTTTTTTTTTCTTTTACAAAAAGAAACATTTTACAGTTCTGTAACTTTCCACAAAATTCATACAGCACTACTCAGTATCATACAGCACAACCAGTAGTTATACTTCAAACTACTAAGAGCATTAAACACTATGCAATGCAAAGCACATCTAAAAGGCAAAACTCTCAGATATCTCAACACTCCAAATTCAGCTCTGAACTAACAACTACTACCACCTAACTGATGCTCTCTCCAGTCTTATAAAGTTTTCCCCTTGCTGCAGAGAAATCTCCAGTACTTCTCGAAATTACTGGAAGGGTGAGAGCCAGATATTGTTACAGTTGCATATATAAATTAATTACAGTTACTAAATTACAATAGCCATTATAATTCTGGGGTTGGACCAAAATATCGCCAAGTTTGGCAAGTTTTGGTGATTTCTCGCCACCCTTGGTGACAAAACTTATCTGACAAAACCATCACTAGCTTGGCAATATCTCGCCAATTTAGCAAGAAAGCCATTTACTCAATGTCAAATAGACTTGCCCCTGTATTCTTACTTTCCCAGCAAAATATTGCCTATTTAGATTATCATCTTACATTATACGCACACAGACAAAATAAATAAATCAATAAATAGAGAATTTCACGGAAAGTTTCACTAAAACTATTTATATATGCATAAAATTCATTACATTATCCCCTTTCCAAGAACATATCCTGGACAAGAAGCCACACTTAAACTAAAATTAGTGCCATACTAAAACAATAGTTTCGATAAATGACACAAAAAAAAAAAATGCTAAACCAGTAAATAAAAGCATAAATTTACAAATTTATATACAAATATGACCATGGTCTTAGTATACTATTTACATTATGTACACTATAGGACCTACATACTATGGCCTATATACTTACTATATATATAGTAAGGAGTGCATGTTTCTAAAACCTATTCCCTGTATCCCTTGCTGTGATAGTTGCTTCACTGTTATTGGTTAGAAGAGCAAAGACATTACATAAACTTTATGATTCATTTGTTTTGTCATGTGGTAAAGCTTTCTTCAAAAGTAACATACGAAGCCATGTACTGTATTTTGCTATTTGGAATGAAACTTTGAAAAAAATATTTAACATAATTTATAAATGTTTTATCATTATTTGAATGCAGCTACATTTTTAAGAACAAGATTACAAAGTATACAAGAGATATACGCCTAAATTTATACCAGTTTTTGGCCTAAGAGATAGAATCTGAGGATATGGTTAGTGATGGACTAGAATAAATTATTGACATAAGCAAATCTTTGGGACCTTTTCTTTTACAGGATAACACTTGCCACACAATTTTCTACAGCAAAATATATGTGCCTATGTTGCCTACTGTCCATTAAATTAATCTTCTAAGCTCTCATAATATAGTTCTTGTTTTAAAAGTAACTATTGTCAGTAAATCTATTTAGTTTGCATAAGGTAGTTAGGAATAAATTTTTTATACATACAAACACTGCTTGGATTATTCTAAATTTTAATTTATATTTTAAAAAACACAGTGCTATTTCAATTATATACTTCTGCTCCGATACTTAGGATAATATTTTTTTCTTTTTTCAAGATGAGGGTTATTTAGAACTGCGACAAATGGCATTTTGAATGTATCATATATTTTAGACTACATTTTACAGCAATATTTATGTTTAGTGATGATTGCTGTACCATTACTAAAAACATAGCTATAAGATTTCATGTTCGAATATTTTAAGCTGTTAAATTAAAATTCCTGTGTGTAAGACAGCTACATCTTTAACAAGATTTGTAAGATATATGAAATTTAAGTTCTTACCACAGCCCCACTAAAATGTCATGAATTCATTGCTAACTTTTGGACAGCATTTGTGAACTCATTCACGAATTTAGAGAGAAACATTTGTTTGCATAACTTTAAATATATTTCAAAGATGCATCCACTACCATCTATTGTTTTATATTCTTCATTTTCTGTACAATATGTGCACAATTCTAGGCTTTCCCCCTCCCCACTGCTGTTCTTCCCATGTGTCTGTTTAAAAAAAAAATGTGCACTACTTTAACACCATAATCCTAATTTTAGAAAGGAAAATGAGATATACGATGCCTTTTATGCTGTATGCATGCAGAAAGCCACATAGTGAAAGACTTCGTTAGAGATGACAAAAACTATAGTACAGTCCGAAAACCGGACTCGTCCGGATTTCGGCGATTCCGGATAATAGATCAGCAGTTTAAATCTAGAAAGATGGCATGTAGAAATTATAAAATTAAAAATATGAAATCATGATTTATGAAATAATGAAGTATTTATGATCAAAATTTACAAAAAAAAAAAAAAAAAAAAAAAAAGCTTAATATTTATTTGTTGACCTTATTAAACATTTCTTTCAATGTAAGCTGTTTTAAGTTACTTTGTTTTTGGGGCTAATACTTTCTCTTTAATTTTGTAGACAGAGATAATCTCTTGTTTAGTTACGTTGCTGAAGTCCTGTAACTGCTGTTTCGAGAATTCCGACTAATGTGTCAATCGAAATTTTCTCGTTTTCAATAACTTCTCTGTCATGTTCTTCACTATTGGTAGTGGTATTTTCTGGATCTAGAACCATACTACATTTTGTGATTCATTAATTGACTGTTGATTGAGAAGCATTGTCATCACAATGAAAAACTTCTTTTATATCAACTTCATTTATTACCGCTTTTCCACATTTTTTTACAAAATCCGTTAATTGGAAAATTTTACCTTTGTTTTGCAATATCTGAAAACCTTTAAAATTAGCGGCTATCATCATCAAATTTAGCTATCCTTCACTATACATATTTGGCTATGCATCAGGAGCTTGGCGACTAACAAGTTGTTCCGTTAAATTTCATATTGCTTCTATCACGCACTGAGACAATTAAGCCTGAATTGTATTAGTTTAGTTATTTATTATACTTGTGTCTATTTCTTGCACATTCTTAAGGCTTATCAGATTTCTGAATAAATAAATTCCCACATATACTTAAGCCTTATTGAGGGCCGGCACTAGATATCTTACTGCCCAATGCAGTCTCTGTGGG